GCAATGGCGCTCCAATATTAGAGACGGGACCGCAGCCGTAGACGGGTTATTGGTGCCGGCAGGTAGTGTTTTGAAAGAGTGTAGGCGAATGATAGGGTACCAGACTTGCGCTAGTGTCTTGGGAGAGTGCAGAAGAATAGGAAGGTGCGAGGCTGTTACGGACCCTCCTATTGTCCTACACTCTCCAAAACACTAGCGCACTTAGTCTGGTGCTCTCCTATTCTCTTGTGCTCTCCCGAAAACTAGCGGGCTGCACCAATCGATACGCTCGCATAGCTGCGTACCAGTCTATAGCATAGGAGGGCGCTGTTTGGCAAGGAGGGGGCACTTTGCACTTTAACGACTTCCCATCGACGTGTCGACCCATCTAGACAGCCTCTTCTCGAGTTGACAGGTTTTACCATGATGGCTTGACGAGCTTGCTCCAGCTTCAGGTTTCACAGAGTGAGACTTGTAAACCAGAACTAGTGAAGCAACTGGCGTGCAAAATGCCCCCCCCCCTCCCTCGTCGGCAAACTGCGCCACATTGGAGTGCCATCGCGATGGTAGCCCGACGACGCGCGTTGCGAAGTCTGACGCAGCCTCAGCGCAATTAACAGACCTAAAAAATCATTCTAAATTAAATTGAAGCGCTCCGCGGAAATGGGCGGGGCTTCTGCTGAACGGGAGGAGCTTCTCCAAGGTGGGCAGTCCGGCCCATAGCAATCAAAAAAATGTAAGAATTTCGCGAAAATGCGCAAATTAGGCGTGTGGAGGGGCATGGCCTGCAGTGGTATTCAGTCTGGTGTGTTTAACCAAGTCATGAATTAGATTTGAAAAGACGTGAATTCAAAATGAACACAACGATCATGCTTTCAGCCCTTGATGTCGAGTGGGCAAGACGCCTTCGCGATTTGTTTCTCGGTGTCTGTCGAGTGTTACTGACCCAGTTCACGTTGGTAGACTTGTCGAGACGAATTACTGGTAGCATTGTGAACGTGCGAATGGATTACAAATGGAATGTGGAAGCGATTGAAGTGAGTATCTGGACAGTAAAGAAGTGTGGCCATCGAGGATTTCTTATGCTTTTGGGAAATCGCACCCTTTTAGGTGCTATTGAAACACCAGCTAGTGCAAAACACAAGTGTTCGATCAGCATCTGGCACATGTCATGGATGGTGGTTCAAATGTGGACGCGACACTGTTTGCGCAGCGATTCTTCCGTGTCATAGGCTCAAATGATGCTTCGCGGATTCCGGTGATCAAAGAGGTAGGTGCTGAACAGTGGGTATGTGGCAGTACAATCGTAATATGTCGCGCCATGCGCGGTTCGTGCCCGGTTGCCCTGTCTAGCCCGCGTTTATATTCGAGTATAAAAGAGGCGGCGACCGACGGCGTGAATGCCGCGAAAGCTTGCAGTTGTCTTGTCCGCGCTGGAAGTCGTCTTATGGCACGTACTCAGTAAACCGTCATACGGGGTTGTAGTTGAGGAAGTTTGAGGAAGTTGACTCGGAGCAGCTTAGGTGTCGGAAACTGGCAACTGATAACTTTTTTCGTTTCGATTTTTGAGAAGTGCTTTTCAATTCCTGGTCGCAAAAATTTGGAATAAAACGGATTATTCATCAGTTGGCGCTGCGAGTCAACTAGCTAGGAAATATGGATTGTTGCTACCGCGGATGCAACGATACCGGGATCGTCTTGAAAATACTGCTGTCTCCCCACGGCTTTGCCTCCCATAGGCAACAATAATTAGCTTTTCGCCGGCGACTTACGAGCAAACTCTTCAGATGCAGGGGCTAGGTGCACGACGGCAATTTGCGACCAAACAGGGCTGCCGCGCTGCAGAAGGTACCACGCCGAGCTAAAACCGTGGACTCGCCACTTGACCACGCTGCAATGGATTCGGTTGGTGAGCCGTCGGAGCCTCCGGCTACCACTGTGTCGCAACCTACCTGTCGCCACCATCGCAGAAGAGGCGCGGAAATGTCCCAGACTAATGGTCGAATCGTTGCAGAATTTTCAGATTTCTTAAATGTTTCAGCACGCTGTTCATTCTTGGCAAATTCGAGGGCTTGCGGGCGCCCAAAGGGACCACAATAACGTATTCAAAACGGCACGTTCATAGTTCGCGATCGCCCGCCACGAGCAAATTCACTCGCCGTGGACCTCAGTTTCAATTCCATTTCTTGCCCGATTGCTGGGACGTTATGAAGACGTACTCCCCGTCGTGGTCGCACGATCCAGGCGGTCAGATCGCGAAGCGTGAACGCGCTGTGACTTCGCTCAGCGGCGTTTTCGATTCGCTACTAGTGGGCGGAGTCGGTCATTTTCCTTCGTTGTCGATCCTCCCAAATTGCGAATTCTCTACATTTGCAATGTGTGAACGCAACCTTTCTTTGAAGTATTGTACTGGATAGGCTGTAAAGATGGATATTATCAATGTTTAGGTGGAAATCATTTTGCGAGAATGGATTGGGTTGTGTTACACGCCAATGGCTCAAAGAAATCCAAAGGAGGCATTGTTCCAAATGATTGTGATGGTTAGTAGAATTTCACTGTTTGTATTGATTGATTGACTGATTGAGCAAGCTATTGACTGAATTGTTAAGATGCATGAGCATGGTGTCTTGTCGGGCGATGAGAAGATCTCCCAGTTCATTCGAATGTGCACCGAAATGTGTGTAGATGTTGCCCTGCGACTTCTGAAGACCGACGCGTCTACACCAGTCAGCCCATCGAATATTGTGCGACAACGATGTTACTACACCCTGGATGCGTTTGTCAAGCTGATGGCGTATGTGGATGATTCATTTCTTTCATTTCTTTTCTTCATTTTTTTCTTTTTGAATCGTAGCTTTCGCTGTGTTCACAAAGTGCGCCTGCGTTTCACGAGTAATTTTGAGCTTTCCGCGCACAGTGGCTGGAAATCGCGACTGCCCGCGAAAAGTTCGGAACTACCTGCGAAACTGCGCTCAAAACGCTGATCAATACATATTTTCCCAGTCGCTTAAAACTCTGACGCGGAGTATGAACGCAGCCCAAGAATTGACTCATTAAGGTTGATGATCAAGTATTCTGACGGTGGAAGTGCCTCTCCATCTGGCACGTCCAAAATAGCGCTTCTAAAGAAAGTCCTGCACATCATCACAAGCGTACTCCACGTAGACCATGAGGTTCGACGAGCAGAGTTCAACGCAATGCCGTATCATCGGATTCTGATCACCTTATTCATCGAGCTAACCACGCCAGATGGATCGAATCTGGAGCCAATCGCGTGGTCAATAATTGAAGCCTTCGGACAGGTTTGTTTTTTGAAATTTGAAGAGAAATCATTGGAAAGGAAATCGGCATAGTAAGACGATAAAATTGGAAATAATGGGGTAGGGGGGGGGGGGAATGTGAAAGTCAAAAGTCAGCTCAGCTTTCGTTTCGCAACTGCCGTTTCATAGAGGCCATATTTCGCAGTCATTGTGTGATTGGGTTCGCGGTTGGACGGTTGCCATATATAAGATAGAAACGTCAGTCTTGTTCGCTGCGAACGCTGAGCGCTTCAGATGAGGGGGGGGGGGATACAGGCTGTCTGTCAGCTCAATATTCCCCTCACTAGGAGAGCCGGACGCATTTTCTCGTTGCATCCTCTCGCTTAGCTTTTGAATTAAGGAAGAGGGGAAAGAAGAGAACAAGAGGAAGGGAGGAGGATGAGGACAGGTTTGTGGTTGACCCTTATTGCTTAGACGTCAATGGGCAGATTTTGCGCTGGTACCTATTCCCTTGTGGACGGAGTACTGTCAGTTTTACCAGGATGAAAAGTGCAGACGCCACCTGTTAGATGGAGTATGATATGCCGTCCAAACCCTGGACGGCGCACTCTGAATGCCTTACGCAGCAAACAGAGACTGTAAGGTCCGCAACTGGCGAATTACTCCTTGCCATTTCAGGTTTGGAGAACAGAGCCAGAACAGATTCAAATGCTTCGGATGACTTGGTGGTGCTGTCGCTTCTACCTGCCGTTCGATGCGTTGTGCGCCGTTCATCAGCTCCCTGTTGCTCGAGCATAGAGGAGGCCTCAACGGTCTCCAACAAGGCCACTGGTTACTATCCCGGTGGTAGGGTGCAGAAGAGCAGCGCTTATCGGGTGGACATATGGCGTTTCGAAAGGCGGGCCGGTGCAACGTGACTACCAAGCAATCAGGAACGTCTAGCACTGCTTGGCCGCATTTTTGTTTGCGCAATGCAATCGTGCCCACTCTGTACCCGAAAATTCACTTCTCACCAAATAATTCGTTGTGTCGTTACCGAAAACGGTATAATTAACAGGTATGTGATGTTTGTCCTCTTTCAGAATGCGTTGTTCATGTTGCAACCACGACGATGTCCGAGCTTTGCATACGCGTGGTTGGATTTCGTCGGTCACCGAGCTGTGATTGGAGCTCTTCTGGGAGGTAGGATTAGGTCTGTGGACTGCTTTTCCAGTTCTATCAATTTTATTTTAGGTAACGGCTTCGCTGAAAGCGTTGATCCAATGAAGACATCGGCGATGTACACGCAGTTGTTGATCTGCCATCTGAAATTCCTCGCCCCTTTCTTACGAAATATTCAGCTGCCAAAATCGATAGCGGTCTTGTATAAAGGAACGCTTAGGTCAGTATAACCTGTGCTGGTTCCTTTTTTATTCGGATTTGTTCTGGTCATTATGGTCTGTTATTTTTAGGGTTCTGTTAGTTATTCTGCACGATTTCCCTGAGTTGTTATGTGAATACCATTATGTCATCATTGACACGATACCACCGAATTGCGTTCAACTTCGGAATCTTGTTCTTTCGGCGTATCCTCGAAACATGCGATTACCAGACCCGTTCGCGTTGAATTTCAAGGTAAGTTCAAGAGGTTATTGGAAATGATTTTGAGTAACTTTTTGAAGACAATTCCTATGATCAAGTGCTATGTGTTCATTGTGAACGAGTAGCTTATGAGTGGTTCTCCAAAGGAGACAAAAAATAGCTGGAAGCACAAACTAAACAAAATCAGTCTTGAGGTTATGGTCACTTGTCCTACGACGCTTTAGGCAACAGGCGCGGTGACTAGCGGTGTGATTGGTTGCCTTGTAGCCTGAAAACGTTGAAGTAGTGAAAGTTGCGCCTTTTTTTGAAATTGATCATGCATACACTCCTTGGCGGATTTTTAATATTTCTGTAGTAATTTTGATATTTTTCATGCTGTTTAGCTCATTTGTTAAGTGTGAAACTTTCAGCCGGAAATGGCGATTGAACCGAAATCGAATTTGAATATGGCGTCCATCATTCCGGATTCGATTCGTCTGCCTCTCGATGCGTACTTGAAGACCCGTTCAGCGGTTGATTTCCTGTCAGCGTTACCCGGCATGTTGCAGGTTAGTTAAGGCTTTCAAGCGCAATTCGGCCGGGTGAGGGCATTTCTCCGGTGACTTCGGATGCCTGCTGTGGAGACCTGTAAATTCCTGTAACGTATTCAAATGGCGTGAGCTCCGTTTGTTTTGACAAGGGACTGCAGGTCTTGCCAAGGTGAGACATTTAATCTAACAGCGATTAACGAAATAACTTAGAGAAAGTGCAAAACGTCCCCCCCCCAACCCAAACAGCGCCGGTTTCCATTGTTATTTCATGTTTTCTATGTAAGTTCATTGGCATATTAAGATATCCGAAACACCCGGCTCCAAATACAACAGTACAGTTATGAATGCGATGGTGTTATACGTTGGAATGAAGTGAGTTCATGCAATTTCCTTTTCGCTGAGTAGAAAATGGCAAATTGGCTTCTTCCGTATTTCGTAGTGTGCACGACAATTGTTTGTGGTGTTCATTAGTTCCAATAAGCTCTGTTTTAGAGCCATCGAAAGCTTGCACGAACGGCGACAACGTATTTCGATCCACACGATTGCACATACAGCATTTATGGATATTTTCCAAAATCTTGCTGTACAGTTGTGTACTGAAGGTGGGTTCTTTAGCGATAGCTGTCTTTTGTAGTTTGTTTTTGTTGTTTCGGTTTATTTTTTGGGGCAAAGATAGTTGGGGAGGGGGGGGGGTTACACGGCGGTGGAGCCATGCGGCATGTCTTGTTTGTATTGTCTTGTCACGTCTTTATGGAGCCGTACGTGCAGTGCACGTCATAACTTCGAAGACGTATTGTGATTAATACCTCCGCCCCTCCTCTTCAGCCCCGCCCCACACTTTTCCGAAATTTCATCATGTAAGGAAGGGAAAGTGCTTACGCCACCTTTCTTAGAGAGGGCGCAGACAAGTAGTTGTTCATTGCAGATAGTGCCG